AAAAAAAAAAAAAAAGTTGATATTAAAGAGAAACAAAGCACGTGTTTTAAGTTTACTGCTGTATTACATATGGAAACATTGACTTTTATTCTTCAAACTTACCCTTCTAATATTTTCAGTTATGAACTTGACCTATCATTCTCTTGAAGTCCTACCATTTCTCCCTGATTTGATAAACCATGCCTAGGAACTAGACAAAGTAAAAGTATCATGAACTTCTCCCTATTCTATTTGCTTTATTAAATTTCCTTAATCACTGCACTGTCACATTAATAAAAGAAATTATTGTGTTTAAGAAATAACCAGGGATCCCCTTTGTTAGGACTGTGACAATTTTGAAGTCAAAGAAATTAAGAACATTAGGATTTAACTCTTGCCTCAATTCTGACTTTGAGAGGTAATTCCTGGGTTGGAGACATAGCAAATAGATAGGCGTACTGTAGTCCTGCTTTCTTTGTTGGGTTATTGCTTCCCCAGTCCAGAAAATCACGAGGAATTAATTTTTTCAAAAAGAGTTTTTTTATTGGCTTGGCACCTATGGCACAGTGGTTATGGCACTGGCCACATACACCAAGGGTGACGGGTTTGAAACCGGCCCAGGCCAGCTAAAACGATGACAACTGCAACAAAAAATAGCTGGGTGTTGTAGTGGGCACCTGTAGTCCCGGCTACTTGGAAGGCTCATGTAAGAGAATCACTTGAGCCCAAGAGTTTAAGGTTGCTGTGAGCTGTGATGCCATGGCACTCTATCAAGACTCTATCTCAAAAAAAAAAAAAAAAAAGATCTTTTTATCATAAGCTTTTCCCCCTATGGGCTTCTAGCTATGAAACTGTCTCCATTTTGCTAATGCCAAGTGCTTCCTTTATGTTAGGTAAACGACTAAAGAAGACCCCAGAGAAGAAAACTGGCAATAAAGGTAAGAAGCCAGCTAGTTTGGGAAGATCGCATTTCCCCTCCTCCCTCTGAGACTAACGGGACTTGTTTGGATGTTCACAGACTGTAAAGCAGATATTGCGTTTCTGATTGATGGAAGCTTTAATATTGGGCAACGCCGATTTAATTTACAGAAGAATTTTGTTGGGAAAGTGGCTCTAATGTTGGGAATCGGAACGGAAGGACCACATGTGGGTCTTGTTCAAGCCAGGTACCAACCTTGTTAAAATGGGAGGATTTTTTAAAATTAAATTTTATGTATTTCTTAAATTGACACATTATAATTGTACATTACATGTACGTCTTATAGTTTCTAACTGACGTGTGATAATTGTACGTATACACATGTACTGGTAATGAGGCACAGAGGGATGATTTGAGATGTAGAATAGTGGTCCTATCAGGGTCATTGGCATATCTATCGCCTCAAACATTTATCATTATTTTGTGTGTTGGAAACATTCGAAATGAAATGGGAAATCTGAATGAAGTCTTGAAATGATGACAAGTTATCAATATTTTTAGTAAGTACATGAGTTTCAGGTCAGTATAAACATGTTGAATTGTGGACAGGGTGGGTTCCCAAACTGTAAGTTCAGGATTTAAATCTGCCTTGGCAGACTGAGTAGGTGTGAGTGTCTCCTCTTTGGAGTAAAGGGCTTGTCTGCTATCTCTGTGAGGACCAGAAGTGAGACCGAAGGGCCCCATTGCTCACACCGATCTCCTCTGCGCGTCTGTTCTGCTCAGCGCCCAGTTTCTGTTTTCTGAAGGAAGAAGCGGTAGACTGTCTGTTCCTCCTCTCTATTGAGCCATTGTTCTTTTTAGCTTTCTGTAATTCACTTGATTGGAGAATCTGAAGCTTTACCTTTTTATTTTATTCATTTAGAAATAACATTTATTAGTGGCTCTTAGAATTATAATATGCTCATTATAGAAAGTTTGAAAATATATGAAGCACCACAGAGCAAATTTCCCAAATCGTGTGCTCTAGAGATAATCACTGTTTTATATCCTTTAGCATTTTAAGAAAATATTTGGCTATATGTATTTCTTTTTTAAAACGTTCAGACGATAAAAATGTCTTGCATCCTGTTTTTTCATCATTTAGTATTTTGAGAATTTTCTTATATTACAAATATTCATCAAAAATGATGTTCCATAAATAAATCTGAGAATTTGTTTTGTTCCAGAAACAAAAATGATGTTTCTGGCTTGGTGCCTATAGCTCAACTGGCTAAGGTGCCAGCCACGTACACTTAAGGTGGCAGGTTCGAATCCCCAGCCCGGACCCGCCAAACAACAATGAGGGCTGCAACCAAAAAATAGCCGGGCGTTGTGGCAGGCGCCTGTGGTCCCAGCTACTTGGGAGGTGGAGGCAGGAGACTCGCTTGAGCCCAGGAGTTGGAGGTTGCTGTGAGCTGTAATGCCACGGCACTCTACCCAGGGGGACAGCTGAGGCTCTGTCTCAAAAAAAAAAAAAAAAAAAAGATGTTTCTTTTGCATGGTTATTTAACCATCATTTTCTTGTTTTTTTCACTATTGCACATTATACTGTGATGGACATCCCTGTGTCATATTTGGGCCCATTTTTGATAATTTCATTAGGTTAGATTCCTGTAAGTGAAGTTCTGACATTGTTAAGGCTTCTGACAGAAATAGTGAAATTCTTTTCTACAAATTGGAACCAGTTTAAACTACTCTCAGCAGTATACACATAAGAGTGTCACCATAACTGTTATAAATATTTGTTTATATTTCACTTGCTCTTATGTTATTTTTTACAGTTGGCTTTACTCTTAAATTTTTTTTTCATGCAGGATCAAAATTTTGTTGATTTTTATATAATTTAACCATTTGTCCCTCATTTAAAAAAGAGTTCCTTGAATTATTTCACCCTTCCAGAAACTTTGGTACTTTTTACTTCTGTATTCCTCTCTGTCTAATAAAAATCCTATCTTACCACTGGAAAGTTTTTTAAAAAAAGAGTTCCTTATTCCACTGATTTGCAGACCTCTTTTATAAAAATGTTTGGCAAGTCTGTTTCTTTGATCCATATGTTAATTCTTACATCTTCTTTACACTGTTTGATTATTATAGCTTTACTTTACATTTTAACATCTATGAGTTCCCATAGTACTCTCCATCATATACTTTTCTTGGCTAATTTGACTCAATTGTTTTTCAAGATGAAGGCTATATTACTTTGTAGATGCATACGAAGACTAGCTGCTCATAATTTCCTGGTTTATAGTTTTTCTACTCTAGAAAGAACATTAAAGTAGATTAACTATGTCAAGATTTTGTATTTAGGGCAGCACCCGTGGCTCAAGGAGTAGGGCACCGGCCCCATATACTGGGGGTGGTGGTTCAAACCCAGCCCCAGCCAAAAACTGCAAAAAAGAAAGTAATAAAATTAAATTTAAAAATATTTTATATTTAAAAAGGACAATATTATTAAGAATGCAAAGATAGGACTTATTTCATAAGTCATAATTTGGAAAATGACCGTAAAAGTGAAAAGCTTTTTAACCCATGAAATCTGACTTTTGGGACCCATCATTCTATCAGGTATGAGAATCAGGTATGCAGAAATAAAATCAGTATTATACTTGTCCCTCAAAAAATCTTGAATTAATAAAATAGCTACTGATAATGCTAAGATCTTAAGATTTTATGCTTATGACTTATTGACTTATCTAAAAACTAAACACAATAAGTTGATTTGTTTATGCTCAACATGGTCTCTGATAACACTGAAGTTATAAAGCTGAAATTCTTTTCATATGAAATATGGAAAATCTCAATTTAAGATTAGCAAATGTCATTATCATTTGTAATTCAATATTGTGATACATCATCTCCTTATAATTTTTTCCTTTTTTTTTTTTTTTATTTATTTTCTTGAGACAGAGTCTCACTTTGTTGCCCTTGGTAGAGTACTGTGGCTTCACAGCTCACTGCAACCTCAAACTCTTGGGCTCAAGCTATTATTTTCTTGCCTCCGCCTCCCAAGAAGCTGGAACTACAGGTGCAACACCCAGCTGTTTTTAGAAACAGGGTCTCACTCTGGCTCAGGCTGGTCTTGAACTCATGAGCTCAAACAATCCACCCACCTCAGCCTCCCAGAGTGCTGGGATTACAGGTGTGAACCACCGTGCCCGACCTCTTTTTCCATTTTTGAAATGTTGGCCTTGTCTGCGGCCATACCACCCTGAATGCGCACGATCTTGTCTAATCTCAGAAGCTAAGCAGGGTTGGGACTGGTTACTACTTGGATGGGAAAATGTTGGCATTAGCGTCATTGAAATTATTTCCTCTGACCAGAGAGACCTGGGTAAATAGACTTATACTGTTTAGAACTTCTGAGGTCTCCCACTGGAACCTCATCTCCATCCGCCTGCTAGTTTAGTTTAGCTGCTTGTGTCCAACTCTGTAGACTTCCATTAAACTTAGGGCCTGAGCCGAGTCTGGTTTCAGGTGCTCCAGATAGTTGAGGCATAGACTTTGGAGCCAGACCATAGGAATTCAAAATGCAGGTATATTTTTGGGTAGATTATCTAAATGTGCTGAGCCTTTTTCTTCATTTACATAATTGGAATAATAATTTCTACCTCATAGAGCTATGATGAAATAAGATTATACATACGATATATATTTGGTGTTATCCACAATATAATAAAGCACTCAATAGTGCACTGTCTGTTACATTTCTGAAATATCTCCAGTAATTCAAGTAAGGATGCAGTGCCTTAGTTGAATACATACTATGAGATTTATAAAGAAACCTGGGAGTGTCTGATTTTAAAACTTTTTTTTTCTCCAGAGGTGGGATCTGGCTCTGTTGCCCAGGCTTGAGTATAGTGGGAAAATCATAGCTCACTGTAACTTCAAACTCCTGAACGCAAGTGATCCTCTCACCTCAGCTTCCTAGTAGCTAGAATTACAGGAGCATGCTACCATGCCTGGTTAAGTTTTTTATTTTTTTGTAGGGATAGAACCTTGCTATGTTACCCAAGCTAGAATCAAACTCCTGGCCTCAAGTGATCCTCCTGCCTTGGTCTCCCAAAGCACTGAGATTATAGGCATGAGCCACCACAGCTGGCCTAAAACTATTTTTTAAGGCATGTAATAACATTGCTTGTCCTTTCAGTTTTCCCTGAGTAGTGTTTTTTCTTTGTTTTTCCACTTAGTGAACATCCCAAAATAGAATTTTACTTGAAAAACTTTACATCGGCCAAAGATGTCTTGTTTGCCATAAAGGAAGTAGGTTTCAGAGGAGGTAATTCCAACACAGGTAAGGAGACTGTGCTGCCTAGGATGTACTATAGGAGAGGGTTATTAGTGATCAAATATGTAAGCAGTATGATGCTGTTTTATGTAAGTAAATGTGAAAGTCCTCCTGGCCCTGAAATCCTAGGTGGGTCTGCATTTAATCATCTGAGAAATATTCAATTTATAATGGAAGATATACCAAAGGGTTGATATTTCTTATATTTAAAAATCTAAAGCATTGTGATTTATAATTCTTATACATTGGATTGGCTAGATATCATGTTAGAGAAGTACAGGTTTATAAATACTAAAAGGAAGTGAAGATCCACAGATTTATCTAATGAATACAGATGTGGTGCAAAGAATCAGAGTGGCACTGTGGTCGATCCTGAGAAGTTTCTTGTTCTGAGTCCTCAGGGTTACTAATTGATCGGCACAGGGCCAGAGAGCACAGAACCAGGGGTAGGAGTTTCTGACGTGACTGACATGCAGTAAGGAAATGGGAGGCCTCTGGGAACCAGTAGGGGAGTAAAGTGGGTTCTGAAGACAGAAAATAGGCTTGGTAGAGAACCAAACTTTCTCATCTGGTGCATCTATTATAGAACTGAGTTGTATGTGATTCTTACATTTAGTGGCATCAAGCTGCTACAGGGACACAGAAATGGCATTTGAGCAGTGGTAAATGTGGCTCATTTTCCTCTTTTTCAAACCCAGGAAAAGCCTTGAAGCATACTGCTCAGAAATTCTTCACATCTGACGCTGGGGTGAGAAAAGGGATCCCCAAGGTGGTGGTGGTGTTTATTGACGGCTGGCCTTCTGATGACATCGAGGAAGCCGGCATTGTGGCCAGAGAGTTTGGCGTCAATGTATTTATAGTTTCTGTGGCCAAACCTATCCCTGAAGAACTGGGAATGGTGCAGGATGTTGCATTTGTTGACAAGGTAAGGTGGCGAGGCATATCTTCTGTTACAGTGATTGGGATTCAGTTACGGACCTCTAAGCATTGTGCAGATTAGCCCGTGTCTAGATTAACATTGAATTTTTAAGATTGTTTTTATAACTTTTAACAAACAACTTTTGGTGCATTTGGGTATCTTTTGTGTGTCTCCCTCATTAGGCTGTCTGTCGGAATAATGGCTTCTTCTCTTACCACATGCCCAACTGGTTTGGCACCACAAAATACGTAAAGCCTCTGGTGCAGAAGCTCTGCTCTCATGAGCAGATGATGTGCAGTAAGACCTGCTATAACTCCGTGAACATAGCCTTTCTGATCGACGGCTCCAGCAGCGTCGGAGATAGTAATTTCCGCCTCATGCTTGAATTTGTTTCCAATATAGCCAAGACTTTTGAAATCTCAGACATTGGCGCCAAGATAGCTGCTGTCCAGTTTACTTATGATCAGCGCACAGAATTCAGTTTCACTGACTATAGCACCAAAGAGAATGTCCTTGCTGTGATTAGAAGCATCCGCTACATGAGTGGTGGCACAGCTACTGGTGAAGCCATTTCCTTCACTGTCAGAAATGTGTTTGGCCCCGTGCGGGAGAGCCCCAACAAGAACTTCCTAGTAATTGTCACAGACGGGCAGTCCTATGATGATGTCCGAGGCCCAGCTGCTGCTGCCCAGGATGCAGGTAAGGTCCTCGTCCTTTGTGTGGGGAAGGTACTGAGAAGGGGCTCAGTGGATTTCTGGAGTAAATAAAAACTTAAGCATTTGTTTTATTGAACAAACACCTGCAGTGTGGCAGGCATTGTTCTGAGAGCTTTACCCAATATTAACTGATTTAATTGGCCTACTAATCTCATTCTATAGATAAGAAAACAAACTCCCTCAAAATGACACAGCTAGTGAGTGACGAGGCTAGGACCCAAACCCAGGCATTCTAGCTCGAGTCACTAGAATGTTGTTTGAAGAACTGTCATGAGAACATCATGTCGAGGAAATATGTCACTTGGCTCATACTCAGAATATATCCCCAAATAATCTGTCGTCATAACCTACTACGAAGCTGCCATCAGTAATTTATACTTTTGTTTCAGTGGAGTTTTTGGTCTGGCCTGAGTTTCTTAAGGTCTCCAATAAAGATTTTAATCCTATCCCATCTAAACTTCCTTCTTTTTCTAGAGATAATGGAAACACACTCAAGCGTACAGAAGGTATAAAAAGGGCTTCTTTCTTCCTCACTCCAATTTTAATATTACTTTTGGTGAAATTTGTTGCTGGGATCAACTAGGCCAGCAAAAGCTGAGGTTCCACTTTCTGAGCGACTTAGGGGGAGTCCACAGCTTTGCTGTTTTCTGTATTCTGCTGTACCTCCTTTTCCCTTCTTAATTCCTAATGACTTAACCTTTTTTCTTCATATACCTTTAATTTCTGCTATTGTATTTTTATATTGATGAAATACTGTTTTTATTAAGTAGGACAGAACTGATAAATACAATTTAAGCTCTACATCTGCCTCCTAAGTATTTTTTTATGTATAAGCAACGCACCTGTGTCAAGTGAAGACCTGTTTGCTGTCCTACTCCTTACTACTTAAGTTATGGGACTAATTTATGGTTAACAGAATGCTATTCAGGCTAAATAGTAAATTAAACTTTAGGCGGTTGGGCCATATTTCAAAGTTTCATGAAAATGATTCCTAGGTGATAGTGAAGTGAAAGTTGCAAAAGAAAATAGGGTAGACTTATAGGGTTAGATTATGTTTGGTTTTAAAGTGTAATTATGTAGTAAGCTAAAAAAACTGGAATGCAGAATTTATTTTTATTGTTTTAATCAGCCCTGGGGAGAGTGCTGTAGTGTCATCTTAGTTCACAACAACCTAACACTCTTGGCCATAAGCAAATCATCTTGTCTTAGCCTCCTGAGTAACTTGGGCTATAGGCACCCACCACAACACATGGGTATTTTTAGAGACAGGATCTTGCTCAGGCTGGTCTCAAACTCCTAAGCTCAAGCAATCCAGCCACCTTGGCCTCCTAGAGTGTTAGGATCACAAGTGTTAGAATTAAAAGTATGGAGGAAAGGCCAGGCATGGTGGCTCACACCTGTAATCCTAGCATTCTGGGAGGTCGAGGCAGGTGGGTCATCTAAGCTCAGGAGTTGGGTGATCAGCCTGAGCAAGAATGAGACCCCTATAGTCACAGCTACTCAAGAAGCTGAAGTAAGAGGATCATTTGAACCCAGTAGTTCGAGGTTGCTGTGAACTGTGACATTTCAGCATTCTACCCAGGACATCTGAGTGAGACTGTCTCAAAAATAAAAAATTTAAAAAAAAATGTATTGAGGAAAACTAAGAGGAAAAAATATTTTTACCTTTTTTGTCAAAAGTGAGAGATTGGCTAGTAGTAACAAATGATAAATGCTTTCAAATGGCCTTTATATCAGCTATACCTGTTTGAAGTCTTGACAGCTCTCAGCACTGCATGCCACTGGAAAAGGGATGAAGCCTTCGATACACAGGGGAGTGGCTATAGATGAACTCCAAAAATACTAAGGGAAATTTCACCCAGAAGATAGATGTAGTCTATACTAAGAAACTTCTACATCAGTGGTTCTCAATCTTCCTCATGCCTCAACCCTTTAATACAGCGCTTCATGTTGTGACCCTCAACCATAAAATTATTTTCGTTGCTATTTCATAACTGTAATTTTGCTACTTTTATGAATCGTAATGTAAATATGTAATATGCAGGATGGTCTTAGGCGACCCCTGTGAAAGAGTCATTTGACCCCCAAAAGGTTGTGACCCACAGGTTGAAGAACTGCTGTTCTAAGTACTTATACAACTGGGATTGAGGTGAATTCCCCTAATGTGCTATCACCTTAATTAAAAATGTACAGTTGTACTAAAGCCTTCTAGTAACTCAAGTGAATGCAGAAGAAAGGCCTCAACGAAAGTGGAAATCCATCGTCACAGAAATCCTTGGCTGGCAGTTTTGTCACACTCTTTCCTTGAGGATTATAAACTGGCAATTTCTAATTATTAGACCAGAGATCAAAATGGAAGAGACAAGTTACTCCCACAGGACTGACTAGTCACCATTTCCCGGACCACGTGGCCTTACAAACTCTCACCTTCTATGCTGTCCTGTAGCTTTAGCGTGCTGGTGGGGACTCTTAGCGTTTCACTGAAGTGATGGCAACAGGCAGCCCATTCTCATGCTCATCTCAGAGGGAAATTTTTCACCCTGTAAGCTTCCTGTAGGTTTAAAAATTTTTTTTAAGATCCTATGTTATCAGGTAAAGAAAGTTTCCTTCGACTCTTAGCTTACTGTGGTCATATAAACTTTTATCAAATATTTTTATCAGTGATCATGATTTATCCATTAGTGTAATGAGTGTGGCAAGTTAACATTGGTAACAGAACTTCTAGTTTTGGCCACTTTTTTTTTTTTTGAGACAGAGTCCAGCTCTGTCATCCACGCCTTAGCCTACCTCCCAGCAACTTTCAACTTCTGGGTTCAGTCCGACTGCCGAAGCTTCCTTGAGTAGCTGAACTACAGCCACATGCCACTATGTCTGGCTAAATTTTTCCTACTTTTGGCAGAGACCGAGGGCTCACTTTGCTCAGCCTGGTCTCAAACTCCTGACGTCAAGTGATTGACCCGCCTTGGCCTCCCAGAGTGCTAGGATTACAGGTGGAACCACTGTGCCCAGCTTTGACCCAACTCTTTAACCACCCTCATCACAGTAACTGTGAAATTTTAACAATTTGGTATAGACGATTAGTTGTTCAGAAATTACCAGGCAGTTTTCTCTACAACTATGTAAATGTATAGAAACATAGACATAATTGTGTATATAAGCTGGACTTGGTTTTAATTTACTTTAAAATAATTCCATTGTAGGTATCACCATCTTCTCTGTTGGTGTGGCTTGGGCACCTCTGGATGACCTGAAAGATATGGCCTCTAAACCAAAGGAGTCACATGCTTTCTTCACAAGAGAATTCACAGGATTAGAGCCAATTGTTTCTGATGTCATTAGAGGCATTTGCAGAGATTTCTTAGAATCCCAGCAGTAATGGTGACATTCTGATAACTGAAGTACAGAGATCTAATGTGTAAACTATATTCTCATAATACTGAAATACTATAGCATACTAGGATCAGATACAAAACTGTTACATGTATCAACAGCTGTTTTAAGCAAATAAGCATTCCTTTAAAGCTACTACTTTCTGATTACAACTCACAGTATATTCTATGGAGCCTTAGCTGAGTGTTTTGAACAATTAATCATGGCCCTTAGAAACTCAACCTTGGATTAAAACCTTAGGAGTTCTAATATGCCTATTAAACATATAGATAACGGAAATTCCACAGCTCAATAAAATAATCTGATACTTAGACCAAAAAAAACTCCTTCTCTAATCATTCTGTATTGACATGTGTAATAAAGAGCTTAAGTGCGAAACAGCTTTTTTTTTTTTTTTTTGAGCCAAAGCCTCAAACTGTTACCCTAGGTAGAGTGCTGTTGCATCACAACTCACAGCAACCTTCAACTCCTAGACTCAAGCGATTCTCTTGCCTCAGCCTCCCAAGTAGCTGTGACTACAGGCACCCGCCACAACGTCTGGCTATTTTTTGGTTGCAGCCATCATTGTTTGGAGGGCCCGGGCTGGATTCGAGTATGTGGCTGGTGCCTGAGCTGCTTGAGCCACAGGCCCCAGCAGAGAAACAGCTCTCTTAACGTAGTTCAATTATAAATATTTTGGCCAAGTGTATTTTTTAAACCAATCAACAATAACTGTTATTTCCCATACTAAAAAGTACAGCTATGAAATCACGTATCAAGCTTCTTTTCTAGAGTATTTCCATAATTTAAGACTAAAAATATTATACTGAACAAGATAACAGGATTGCCTGGTATTTTTTTTTTCTTTTTTTTTTGCACTTTTGGGCCAGGGCTGGGTTTGAACCCACCTACTCCTTTGAGCCACAGGCGCCACCCTATATAAAACTACAGGGGTTTTTTTTGTTGTTGTTTGTTTGTTTTGGCCCGGGACCAGGTTTGAACATGCTACCTCTGGTATATGGGGCCAGCGCCCTACTCCTTTGAGACACAGGCGCTGCCTGCCTGGTATTTTTCTATTTATATCTTTAATTTTATGTGTACAGCTATATGTAGCTCATACCCTAAAGTCAGCCAAGTACTGAAAAATAGGTAAGCTGGTCAAGTTTTACTACTTACACTATAAACATTTAGCTTTGAAGAATAACAGACATTCCAATAGAACTGCAAGAAAAAATACTGTGCTTTGAAATATTTAAGCAATAAAATGGCTAGCGACTTATTATAAATTCCCCTTAATTATTACAAGTGTCTCTCACAAGGATACCCTAAAAGTTCTGTATTCACTAATTCATGTGGAAACACCAATCTGAACTTCTAAAATCATGCAGTAATACATTTTCTCAATTTTTCATTAAATGCCCACTGTTAAGTATTACACAAAGCCACTACAAGGTTACACTGTATGGGATGCTTTTGAGTACTTGCTTCAACAGCAATGTTTTGTAATTAACATTATTAAACATGCTGCAATCTTGATTCCTAAGAAAGAACATCAGGACTTAATGTGACTTAGATGATTGGCTCACCAAGGTTCTTTCCCACAGACAGAGGTGCTTCTATTATCTCATTGCCTATCTTCTCTAAAGACAGGGTCTGTCCCCTCATCTCCTCCACCTACCCACCCCACCTCCCTTCAAACATACACTGATCCTGTCTGAAACTTTCAGATCAACTGTTTGGTTGTAAACCAAGATGTTAATAACGAGTTGGAAAAAAACACTCCACAAAATCTTTTCATCTAACAGTTTTATAACTTGTATAAGAGGAATACAGTTTTACCTCTTGTGAGAGAAGCAAAAGTGAGTTGCCTTTGCTACTACATAAAATTGGACAGAGTTTAAGAATTAGACAGCTTCCCTCCTCCCTCCTTCATAAGAAGCTGCAAATATGATTCAACCATGTAGTAAGTTAAACCCAATTTTGGTGTTTAAAATTCTTTTTTTGAGACAGAGCCGCAAGCTGTCCCCCCTGGGTAGAGTGCCGTGACATCACAACTCACAGCAACCTCCAACTCCTGGGCTCAAGTGAGTCTCCTGCCACAGATTCCCAAGTAGCTCAGATGACAGCCACCGGCCACAACACCCAACTATTTTTTGGTTGCAGCCATCGTTGTTGTTTGCCAGGCTGGGGCTGGATTCGAACCCACCACCTTAGGTGTTTGTGGCTGGCACCTTAGCCACTTGAGCCACAGGCACCGAGCCTATTTAAAATTCTTAACACAATTGTTCCCCAGTGAACAGCACAAATTCTCAGCTAGGAGTACCACTCCTTTTCTCTTTAATTGCATAGAGGACCAAATTTTGAGGAATCTGATGTAACCATGGAAGAACAACAGGAGAGCAGAAATCAGACCTAGATTTAAGTTACTGTTAATAATTTTTGAAACTAATCAGGACAAGGGGTTAACTGAAAGGACATAAAGTAAAAAAGTATTTTTATAAATATGTATTCCAAACCGACTTCAACAGGCATGCTTAGATTCAAATATAGCTAGTCCATTTATAAATTTTAGCCATTAAGTGAGATGTTGGTTGGTCAGGTATAGTGGCTCATACCTGTAATCCTAGCACTCTGGGAGGCTGAGGCAGGTGGATTGCTTGAGCTCACAAGTTCAATACCTGCCTGAGGAAAAATTTAGCAAGACCTTGTCTCCACTAAAAATAGAAAAACAGAGGTAAGAGGACTGCTTGAGCCCAAGAGTTGGACATTGATGTTAGGTGTAATGCCATGACACTCTACCCAGAATGACAGCTTGAGACTCTGTCTCACAAAAAAGAAAAAAGTTAGTCTTCAATGGATAATTTAAGTTAGTTTAATGAGAAAAGTAAAGTGAATAAAATGAGGTAGAACATGATTAAACTTGAGGAAAGAGGTTAATATATTAAGACTTAAGGTATTACCTTATGTATGTACTATTTAATACACAGCACCCGTAGCTCAGTGGGTAGGGTGCTGGCCGCATACACTGAGGCTGGTGGGTTCAAATCCAGCCCTGGCCAGGTAAACGACAACTGCAACAAAAAAGCCAGTCATTGTGAGTGGGCACCTGTAGTCCCAGCTACTTGGGAGGCTGAGGTGAGAAAATCGCTTAAGCCCAAGAGTTTGAGGTTGCTGTGAGCTATGGTGCCATAGCACTCTCTACCCAGGGCCATAGCTTTATACTGTCTCAAAAAAAGTAAAATAAAGTACTATTTAATAGGCATATTAATCCACATAATTTCCCATAAATTACAAATGGAAGCACACAAATAAAATGAAGAATCTCTTTGTATCCCTTTAGTGTCTTCCAAAAGGTTTAATATTAACATACAGAAAAATACAACCCAAAGGAGATAAGGGAAAAATGCTAATTTTGATCCATTTCAGTTTTAATACATTCCAAAGAGGTGAATATTTATGCATTACAATAAAAATAACCACATTTCAGTTAAATAGTAATGCATTAGATTGGAATAGCTCCCCTAAACAATACTAGCTTTGGAAAAGCTTAAATTATTTCAGAATGGAGGATGAAACGGAAGAGTACACCATTTGAATTTATTCATTAATTGAATTTGTTCATATTGAATATTCAGTTCAGAAAAACAAAATTTTAAACTTTTAAAAAGTTTTAGTATTTCACCAGCAATGATTAAAATGGCCACTTGGATTTTTATGGTAGATAATAAAATTTCTCAAGGCTTGGTGCCTGAAGCACAGTGGTTAAGGCGCCAGCCATATACACCGAGGCCAGAGGGTTTGAAACTGCCTCTGGCCAGCTAAACAACAACTACAACAAAAAATAGCCGGACACTGTAGCAGGCACCTATAGTCCCAGCTATTTGGGAGGCTGAGGCAAGAGAATTGTTTAAGCCCAAGAATTAGAGGTTGCTGTGAGCTGTGATGCCACTGCACTCTACCACGGGCAACATATTGAGACTCTGTCTCAAAAAATAAAATAAAATTTCTCAATATAAACTTTGGACATAAGTTGTCTAGTGTTCCTCTTTTCATTTACATTTCTTTTGAAAGCAAGAGGATATTACCTTGTTGAAGAAAAAAGTTTTAAGATATTAACATTTAACATCATTTATAGGGAAAACTGTTAACTAATATTCAGTGCAGCTTATTTCTTGTTAATTTTTGTGGAAACAGGTATGGTTAGATAGGAACAATACTAAGTAAGTGAAATTCAGATTTAGTAAGAGGATGTCTAAATTATTTAAAAGTATAGATCTCTCTTTTTTGGTTATTTTTGAATTGCCTAATTTTTTGTTCTTGGAGACAGTTTCACTCTACTGCCCATATTAGAGTGCAATGGTATTAGCCTAGCTCACAGCAACCTCAAACTCCTGGGTTCAAGCAATCCTTCTGCCTCAGCCTCCCCTACAACTGGGATACAGGAGCGCGCACCACCATGCCCAATTACTTTACCTGTTTTTAGTAGTGATGGGGTGGGTCTCAAACTCTCTTCCTACCTCAGCCTGCCAGAATGCAAGGATTATATAGATGAGCCACTGCACCCAGCCCCTTAACAGTTTTTTTCTTAATCCCTCAATGGGGTGGAATAATTAGGAAGGCATTCTTAATAGTGTTATTGTTCTAAGCCTACTCCAATTATCGGTAAGCAGTGCAAAGTTTAAAACTGAAGCATAAAAATGAAGGACTCATTAAATCATCTCCATTTCCTAGTTTAATTATGGAGAATAAAGTATTGCACTTTATTATTCAACACAAAATGATGTAGCCAACAGTAACATACAGGTACACAATTTAATATTTATTATATGCATTTTATATACATTATTTTTTAACAGGTGTACGTTTGCTATGTGGTACAATCTTAAAAATTTGCTGATTCATAGTTTGTAAAACAAAAACCTTACAAAACTCATCAAAACTCGCAAACTGATGAGAAAAGTTTGGAAGACTAGAAAAAATACTTTATTGTCTTACTCATGCATTACA